CCCAAAGACACGTGACTCTGTCTGAGCTGCCCCCACACGTGAACTCCTCGCATTATGACTGGCAGCTCACAGCTTGCTGCTCCACATGAAGATAATTACCGGTACTCCGGGTGTTCTGGAGGGGACGTCATCACCGCCAGCACCTCGTCTTTAATCTGTCAGGGCTATTTCTTCTTCTTGGGTTTTATTTGGCGGTGGGCAAACAACAATTTTGGTACATTACCACCACAAACTTGCACAATGACAATGTTAGGTCAGAGGTTTTTATGGGACAGAGAACAGCTAACATGAAACATTAACGATGCTAAATGAATCAAGTTAGCTGGAACAGGACTTGAGAGGTGGAGCTAGAAACATTTATTTCACATGTTGTTGTCTGGACCAAGTTTATGACTAGATTAAGTTTTTATGTCTAACACACCTATGCTGACAAACAACACGCTGCTGTGGGACGAAACTCCCGTTCAGGGCCAGAGGTTGGCGGGATGACGTTGGTGTCTCCAGGTCAGGGGATAGCGCAGACGGTCGGATGCTCCCTCGTGGTGCAATTAGTGCTCAGGAGCAACGGCAGACAGGGGTTTTCTCCTCTGAAGCAGAACAACGTCACACCAAACGATGAGTCGGTGGCACCAGACGAGGCAGAGGAGCAGGAGGGAGGACGCCCCGCTTCATTAACACAAATCACGTGGATAAACTCCAGCTCCAACACAGTTCAGGTTGTGCTGAAGGTGAAGACTGCAGCGTTCGCCTGCAACAAAATGCATTTTTGGAGCAGCAACGTGTTAAAATGTGTTATTTCTATATGACGAGGTGTGAAACTGGGGGGGTTATGACCTGCAGGTAAAGGTGCAGGATGAGGCATATTATTGAAGATAATTATCAGAAAATCATCCATTAAAATTCCCATTATTGATTTCCTGGTTTTTATTTTTCTGTAAATTTATTTACAGTTTAACTACTTCTGCGTACTTTCTGTTGTTTTAGCTGTTCACATTTTAAATCCTTCAGCTTATTCAGGAGATAATGATATACATTTCAAAATATCTAACTTGATTAATGTCAGCAAAAGACTAGCTAAAAATTAAAGGTGGCAGAATGGCAACTTTAAAAAAGTTAATCTAAAAGTAGCATTAAAAGACAAAATAAGGCCAGTTTGCTGAAGCAGAAATAAGAGAAAATGTTTTATATGAACAGAAAAATAATCTTAATCTTTTAAATTACGAGAAAGCTGGCCCTTTGCTACTTTTAAGCCTTTAGCCAACCTTTTGTTGCTTATAGTTTGAAGCTTGTTTTACTACGTTTGAATAGCCTTCGGCTACTTTTAGCCTGCAGCCAACATTTACTGTTTTTAGCTAGCATGTTGCCATTTTAGCTTTTAGTGAGCAATCTGCTACTTTTAGCCTTCAGCCAATATTTTGCTTTTGTTGGCTAGCATTTTGCTGCTTTAGCTTTTAGCTAGTTCTTTGCTACTTTGAATTAGTATTTTGCAATTCTTAAGTAGCATTTTGCTCATTTTAGCTTTTAGCTAGTGTTTTGCTCCTTTTAGTGTGAAGAACTCATTTTCTGTTTTTTTATTTTTATTTTTTAGCACAGAGCGTTCACAGAATATGTAATTTGTCCAGCTGCAGGATTGTTTTTTTTTAATCAGACAAGATGAGTGTTGGATTTGTAGCTGGAATAAAATTGATGATCAGCCATTTTCTTTTTCATATA